TGTCCTTATCTAAATTTGTACAGTCCCATGACCACTGCGGTATCAGATTGTGAAAATGTTATATATGATCATTTCATGTGTGCTATGTTACGGTTAAGGATTATTATCATCAACCATATGACTGTTGTTTTAAAGACAAATTCCAGTGTAGCCCTCTTTTTGGGGGGGGAGGGGGGTATGAGTTTCGACCCTCCCTAACAAGATATTGTGCTAAGCCTGTAGGTAAATAGGAGAATCGGAACCTTCGCTAAGTGGAAGAGCGGGTTTGGTAAAACTATAAAGTTGCCCTGCCTCCACCCAGGACGGGGCCTTTGCTCCGTGAGCAGAGGGGTTTCCCATCCTGGTAAATTAAACCGCAATCTCATCAAAATAATTGGGAGCAGAAAAAACTACTGTAACCAACATATAACATTAACCATAAGTACCTTGAACAAAAGACCCTTCATAATGCAAGAAATTTGAATTCCGAATAGAATACATTTGAATTAGAATAGAATAGATTAGAATAGAAAATAATAGACTAGAAAAAGAATAGAACAGGACAGAATAGAATAGAAAAAAACCCAATAGAATAGAACTGTCTTCTGAAATTCAAATATTAGAATATAATAGAAAAGAACAGAATAGAAAAAGTATAGAGTAGAATAGAAATATATATAGAAACATATAGAAGAGAAATAATATAACTGTCTTTTATTCTTTTTTGAATTTCAGATTAGAAAAGAATAGAACAGAAAAAACTAAATAATAGAATGCAATAGAATATAAAATAAAAAATAGAATATAACCGTCTTCCGAAACTCTAATTTCAAATAGAATAAATTTGAATTTAAACAGAATAGAATAGAAAAAATAACAGAAAATAAGAGAATAGAATAGATCGCATGCTGTGCAGCAACTCTTAGCTTGCTTCCTCTGCCTAATGGTGTGTACTATAGTGGAGTGGTTGTAGAACCTGTTGTAGCCATAGTTCCTAGACCTTTGCATGCAGTCATTAGTTTCCTATTCCAACCGAAACAATACAGCTTTGAGGACCATCAACTCTTGTCTATGGCTAGCTCTAGGTTGGAGATAGAAAATTCCAATTATTCATAAGATTTTTTTTTTCCAAGATTTAATATTGTTACTTCAACTAAATGACTGCAAGGAGAAGTAGAAAAGGAGCACTCAATGTCCAAAAGAATGCATTTTTGATGGTAGATTAGGAGGCATTTATGGAGAGTAATGTCAGGTACATCAAGCCAACGCATTTTAAGAGAAAAGACTCTCACTTCTTCAGGGCTATTAAAAACAAATATGAAAAATATACAGAAAAACAAATATAGGAGAGAAAAACAACAAACATATATACACTTACATATATTGCCAAATGTATTGGGACGCCCCTCCAAATCATGTGATTCAGGTGTTCCATTCACCTCCATGGCCACAGGTGTATACAATCATCCCCTAGGCATGCAGACTGCTTCTACAAACATTTGTGAAAGAATGGGTCGCTCTCAGGAGCTCAATGAATTCAAGTGTGGTACCGTGATAGGTTGCCACCGGTTTTTGCTTTCTTGATGACTTCTTAGCTTGGCTATCCTACTTTCTCTCCTCTGATATACCCACTATCATTTTTGGAGATTTTAACATCCCCATTAATGTGAACAACCCAGCTACATCCAACATTTCAACCCAACCTCATCTTTTACAGTACCTTAACACAATGGACACAGTCCTCCACTCACTCTGATGGGAATACATTAGACCTTGTTTTCTCCCACATTTGCACTCCCTACAACCTCACAAACACCCCCTTTCCTCTCTCTGATCACAATCTCATCACCTTCACAGTGTCCCCATCTTCAAACACTTATCCCTCCAAGCAGCAAACACTTACCCACAGAAACCTTCACAACTTGAACCCGGCTCCTTTCCACTCTGCAACTGACCGCCTCTATGATAGAATTTCTCCCCTGTCTTGCCCTGACCTGGCCATTGCTGTCTACAACAGTTCGCTTTCATCCACACTAGACTCACTTGCTCCTCAAACTACACGAAGTATCAGGCCCCGACCATTACAACCTTGGCAGACTGACAACACCAGGAATCTTAAGCAACATAGTCGTGCACTGGAGTAATTTTGGCGTAAAACCAAAAATCAGCAAGCATTGATAAATCTGCTTTCTTAACATACAATTCCTCCCTCCATGCTGCCAAACAAGCCTACTTTGTCACTCTTATTAATACCTTGTCATCCAGTCCTCCTCATCTCTTCTCTACTTTTAAATCTCTACTTTCTCCACCTCCACCCAGTAACTCACTGCTTACGAGATTGCAAATCACTGCAAAAACAAGATTGATGTAAGTTCATAGGGGCATCTCCACTACACAGACATCTATTCCACTTAGCATACCTTATACTAAACCTCCCTCAACACTTTCCTTTTTTGACCTTGCTACTACCGAAGAGGTTCTTTGAAGACCGTCTCACCACGTGCCCCCTGGATCCTGTCCCCTCTCAATTACTATGGTCACCCTCTTCTTTTGTCCTATGCTCCCTCACTCACATTTTCAATCTCTCTCTCTCTAATGGCGCCTTCCCCTCCCCTCTAAAGCTTGCACAGATCACTCACATACTTAAAAAACCCTCCCTGGACCCCACCAATCTGAACAACTTAAGACCCATCTCCCTGCTCCTGTTTACCTCGAAACTCTTAGAATGCTTAGTATACAATGGCCTGAGCTCCTACCTCACCGACAACAAACTTGTTGATGCTTCACAGTCTGGCTTTCGCTCACTACACTGCACTGAAACCCTACTAAAACTCACTAATGATCTACTAACTGCTAAAACCAATGGCCACTACTCAGTACTCTTACTACTTGACCTCTCTGCGGCTTTTGATACTGTTGACCATCCCCTCCTCCTCAAAAAACTCCACTCTCTTGTCCTCTGAGACTCTGCTGTCTCCTGGTTCTCCTCCTAATTATCGCAGCGCTCCTTCAGCACTACCTATAACTCTGTCTCCTCCTCTCCACTTCCTCTTTCTGTTGGGGTCCCTCAAGGTTCTGTCCTTGGACCCCTTCTCTTCTCCATCTACACCTCCTTCCTTGGTCACTTGATAAACTCCTATTGTTTTAAGTACCATCTATATACTGATGACACACAAATCTATCTTTATACTCCTCACTCACCTCACCCCTTTAGTCTCCTCCCGCATTACTAACCTACTAAGTGACATATCTCCATGGATGTCACTCCACTTCCTCAAACTCAATCTTTACAAAACTGAGTCTCTTAGTATTCCCCCCAGCCCGTGCCCCCTCCCCTGACTTCTCCATCAAGATCAATAATACAACCATCAGTCCCTCCCCTCATGCCAGGGTACTAGGTGTAATCCTAGACTCCCATCTGTCCTTTATTGCCCAAAATCCAATCACTGTCCAAACCGTGTAGACTTCACCTGCGCAACATGTCCAAGATACGCCCGTTCCTAACCTCGGAAACCACTAAGCAACTTATTCACTCCCTTGTTATATCTCGCCTTGACTATTGTAACTCCCTCCTCATTGGCTTACCTCACCGCAGGCTATCCCCTCTTCAGTCTATCATGAATGCTGCTGCCAGACTTATCCACCTTACTAACCGTTTCATATCTGCCATCCCTCTCTGCCAATCCCTCCACTGGCCTCCATTCAGTGTCCTCCACCCCTCTCTGCCAATCCCTCCACTGGCCTCCACTCAGTGTCCTCCACCCCTCTCTGCCAATCCCTCCACTGGCTTCCCATTGCCCAATGAATAAAATTCAAAATATTAACAATAACATATAAAGCCATTTATAACTCTGCCTCAAATTAAATCACCAATCTTGTCTCCAAATATCATCCAAACCGTCCTCTCCGCTCCACCCATGACCTCCTGCTCTCTAGTTCCTTTGTTTCATCCTCCCATGCTCATCTCCAGGACTTCTCCAGAGCCTCCCCATCCTCTGGAACTCTCTATCCCATTCTTTCCGACTATCTCCTACTCTGCTCACTTTTAGGCGATCTCTGAAAACCTATCTCTTCAGGGAAGCCTATCCTGCCCTCAGCTAATAATGTAATCTTCTATTCCTCCTACCAGTCAATCCCCCACAGTTATTACCTTTTTGTACCACCAGCCCCTCCCTCTTAGATTGTAAGCTCCCAGGAGCAGGGCCCTCCTAACCCTCTTATATTGAATTGTATTGTTGCTGTATTGTCTCCCTTTATATTGTAATTTGCTGCACAAACTGTTGACGCTATATAAATCCTGTATAATAATAATAATAATGTCACCAGCATCCTTTGTTGTGTACAGTAGGCTGCAGTTTCAGATCAAACTGGCTTTGGCGCGGACCTCAGCTCATCAGTAGTTGCAAGCATTTCAGCATTAGTGTCTTTTTTTAGGGGGGGGGGGCAGGGGAGCATTTAAAAAAAAAAATGAGACCAGAGTTTGATCATTTATTATTACTTTGAATTGTCTGTACTTAGAGCAACGCAATCTTTTACTTCCAATAACTGCAGTTTTCTTAGTGTTTCCTGAAAGCTTCTGTCTGTGCAAGAATATTTTCCAGCAACTGAAAACACATTTTAGCCATTCTCTCTCATTATTAGTAGTCAATAGAAATCATTTTTGTATGTAGAACATTACAATTGTAATTTATGTTTCTGGAACCTTCAAATGTTTCTGCAAAGTGCCAGAAAGCGATGAAATCTTTTTGGCCTCTTTCTCAGTAAACATGCAAATCACTAGCTACTGCACCGACTCTTCCAAGAAAGAAGGATTGCGGGTCGGGTTCATCTGTGTCCGCCAAGGTGTTCAGATAGGAAATGACTCACAGAGAGGATTGGAAAAAAAAAAAAACTCTTGAATCAAAACCAATGAAAGAATTTAAAGGGTAACTACAGGGTGTATTTATTAAAGTGGTTGTAAAATTCAAACAATAAATATGAACAAAGCATATCCCTCTCAGGAGCGACTGACAATTCATGGGCCCCCAGGCAATAGGGGATCATGGGGCCCCTGTGTCCTTGCCCAAACTCAAAAAAGCCTATGAAAAAGGTACCAGGGGCATCTCATGGGGCCCCCTACTGACCCCGGGCCCTCGGGCAGTGCCCGAGTTTCCAAATGGTCAGTCCGCCCCTGATCCCTCTATAGCAGGGGTGTCAAACTCCATTCCATTCAGCATTATGGTTGCCCTCAACGGTTCTATCTGTAAGACTAGATGTCCAGAGCACCCCACCTCCATTACTTCAGATGTCAAGAATCCCACACCCTCCCTAACATCACCGTGCACCCCTTTGGGGGCAGAGCTGGAAAGCAGAAAGTGCAGGGTCTGGAGGAGGACCAGAGGAGGAGTGGAGTCAGTTACCAGAGTCTGTTGAATGCTGAGACCAAGGGAGGCAGAGATGAGGGGGTGCTGCAGCTGCACTGAGGTGCAAGATTTGGCAGAGGACTTCTATTTTCCTCTTTGCTGCCGACTGCTGAGACAAGGTGGGGGTGGAGACAAGGGGGTACCTGCAGGAGAGGTGCAAGGGCCACATGAAATGGCCTGGAGGGCCAGATTCAGCCCATGGGCCTTGTGTTTGACACCTGTGCTCTATAGTGTGTACTTGTCTCAATCCAGAGCGCTAAGTGTCATTTCTGTCTGCTGCGCTTTACTTTTCTATCTGCATAAATCTCTTCTGACAAGATTTCCTGACATCAAGAGATAAAGCGGTGACAGGGGAGGGAGGTCCAGCACACAGCCTGTGATTGAAAGCCTCAGCTCTGTTTCTGTGTGCTGAATGAAGGGGGGTGGGTCCATAGGCATGTGCAGAGGGTGTGCTAATCACCTGGTACACATTAGCATTATCTCTCTGTGTGCCGGCAAGGAGGTGGGAAACATGTCCCTCTGACCAGCTCTGCCATAAGAGAAGTGCTTCCACACTTCCCTGTCACTGTGCTGGCTAGGTTATCAATGTGCCAGTGCCATATATACATATATACAGTGAGGAACAGAAGTATTTGAACACCCTGCGATTTTGCAAGTTCTCCCACTTAGAAATCATGGAGGGGTCTGAAATTCACATTGTAGGTGCATTCCCACTCTGAGAGACAGAATGAAAAAAAAAAATTCAGGAAATCACATTGTATGATTTTTAAAGAATTTATTTGTCTTGCACTGCTTAACATAAGTATTTGAACACCTGAGAAAATCAGTGTTAATATTTGGTACAGAAGCCTTTGTTTGAAATTACAGAGGTCAGACGTTTCCTGTAGTTCTTGACCAGGTTTGCACTGCAACAGGGATTTTGGCCCACTCCTCCACACAGATCTCCTCTAGATCTGTCAGGTTTCGGGGCTGTCGCTGAGCAACACGGAGTTTCAGCTCCCTCCAAAGATGTTCTATTGGATTTAGGTCTGGAGACTGGCTAGACCACTCCAGAACCTTGATATGATTCTTACGGAGCCACTCCTTGGTTATCCTGGCTCTGTGCTTCGGGTCGTTGTCATGTTGGAAGACCCAGCCAAGACCCATCTTCAATGCTCTGACTGAGGGAAGGAGGTTGTTGCTCAAAATCTCACAATAAATGGCCCCATTCATCCTCTCCTTAATAAAGTGCAGTTGTCCTGTCCCCTTTGCAGAAAAGCACCCCCAAAGCATGATGTTACCACCCCCATGCTTCACAGTAGGGATGGTGTTCTTGGGATGCAACTCATCCTTTTTTCCCTCCAAACACGACGAGTGAAGTTTAGACGAAAAAGTTCTACTTTGGTCTCATCTGACCACATGACTTTCTCCCATGCCTACTCTGGATCATCCAGATGGTCATTGGCAAACTTCAGACGGGCCTGGACATGTGATGACTTGAGCAGGGGAACCTTCCGTGCAATGCATGATTTGAAACCATGACGGCGTAGTGTTCTACCGACCGTAACCTTTGAAACTGTGGTCCCAGCTCTCTTCATGTCATTGACCAGCTTCTCCCTTGTAGTTCTGGACTGATTCCTCACCTTTCTTATCATCAGTGATACCCCACGAGGTGAGATCTTGCATGGAGCCCCAGTCCGAGGGAGACTGACAGTCCTCTTTAGCCTCTTCCATTTTCTAACAATTGCTCCAACAGTTGATCTATTTTCACCAAGCTGCTTGCAATTGCCCCTTAGCCCTTTCCAGCCTTGTGGAGGTCCACAATTTTGTCTCTGGTGTCTTTTGACAGCTCTTTGGTCTTGCCCATGGTAGTAGTTGGTGTCTGACTGACTGTGGGGTGGACAGATGTCTTTAAAGAGCTCAGACAGGTGTTACTAAGTTAGATTAATGAGTGGAGTAGAGGTGGACTTTTTAAAGGCACAGTAACAGGTCTTTGAGAACCAGAATTCTTGCTGTTTCTTAGGTGTTCAAATACTTATGTTCAGCAGTGCAAGACAAATAAATTCTTTAAAAATCATACAATGTATGTTCAAATACTTCTGTACCTCACTGTGTGTGTGTGTGTGTGTATATATCTATATATATATATATATATATATATATATATATATATAGTGAAGGAAATAAGTATTTGCTCCCCTGCTGATTTTGAATGTTTGTTCACTCACAAAGAATTGATCAGTCTAAAAATCAATGGTAGGTGTAGTGTAACATTGAGAGACAGGATAGCAACAAAAAATTCAAAAGAAATGCATGTCTAACAAAGTATGCAAATTGAGAACAAGGGATTTCCCTATTCCGTTAAAAAAAAATGAATCGGATGAAAACGGATGTAAACGGATGAAAAAACAGATGTAAACTGATGAAAAATGGATGTAAACTGATCAGAAAAAATGTGACTGAACAGATGAAAAAAACGGAACGCCCGTCTGAAAGGGGCCTAACCTGTTTGTCTGACATAAGCCGAATGCCCAGCAGTCTACTTAAACACCCTGATTGGGGCAGGTGTGCGCCACAATATGAGTTGCGTTGCAATACTAATTAATGACCAACAGATGGAGACTGATAAAAAAAAAAATGGATGTAAACTGATCGGAAAAAAACATGACTGAACTGATGAAAAATAACGGAACGCCCGTCTGAAAGGGGCCTAACCTGTTTGTCTGACATAAGCCGAATGCCCAGCAGTCTACTTAAACACCCTGATTGGGGCAGGCGTGCGCCACAATATGAGTTGCGCTGCAATACTAATTAATGACCAGCAGATGGAGAAGGCTCAAGGCTAATCATTTCAAGAGGCATCTGTATGCCTTACGATTGCTATTTTTTGCATAGTCTGCAGGAATCTTTTAAAAAGTTAGCTATTTAATTATCCATTTTTATAAATGTTCTTTTTTTTTTTTAAATCAGTGGACAATAAAAACCCATCTTAGAAACAATATGCAACATCGAGATCCGTCATTCACACATTAGCATGAAAGTAATGGAGTGGAATGGCCAACAATGTATTTGTTCTATAAATACCTGCATTCCTGCGTGTTTATTGCAGCCTTGTTGCAATTTTCCCCCCTACTTGTCATCACAGGATTCGCACAATTCCATTTTCCTTAATTGTTTCCAGTAAAGCTGCTGTGGGTTATACAGACAGACGTGTAATTAAATATGAACACAAACTGTGCATTTACCGGAGAATAAGTCTTTCATTAGATGATGTGTTATTGCCAGCTGTGCAAATCAGGTGTTTAGTGATCTATCATTATGTTTTAAAAGGCCAAGGACTGCAATTTTATGGCTCCAACTTGCAGCGCTTTCATAAGAGAACTGCTGAAGACTTCAGTCATTACAAAGCTGTCAGGTAACCTAATTGGTCAGATGAAAGTCTGTCACTATTATTAACAGAAGGCATGGCTTGGGAAGATAATGATCTAAGTTACAAAAGTTTTAGAAGTAATACGTTTTATTGCTTGGTGATACTGCCAGTACATCTGCTATTTTGTCACGGGCCAAGCTGTCCAGCATAAGTGGCAGCTCCAAGAAGTCCCAGTCTCAGCTGCTATGGCAGGAGCAGCTGTCAATCAGCCTGTAGGGGGTACAACTGCTTGGCCCCTTCCTCCACCCTCCATCCTGAACATCTGCTTGGCAGGAAAGGAGGGAAGCCAGCAACACTGCAAAGGGGGGACCATACAGTGGGGGGAATCCGAGAGTGGACAGGAAAGGATGATCATTGCGGCTTGTAGGGGAAATTACTGGAACTGATCTTTTGTGGCTCTCCATGCAGCAGATGAAAGCCATTGGCAGTAGATGCCACACCGAAAATTGGTTCCACTTATTATTTCTCTCACTGGCACACTGATCAACTGCTCTGTCCACATGCATTCCTCCTCCCTGCTTGGGGGGATTGCAGGGGCCCCGATGATGTGCCTAGGGGTGCCTATGTGCTAAGATGGCCCTGGTAGGGACCCCTTTTTATTGTTCATTAATCTATTAATAAAGTAGCTTTAAGGTTGGGGTGAAAGTAAAGTTAAGGGTTGGGGCCCAACTTTAGCCAAAACATTTTTGTGTACTTTTTGATAGGGTGGGGAAGTGTCACTTGTCATTTATTTTTTGTAACTTTATTGAAAATCAAATATGGAGAATGGGAATGACCAAAAAAATTTGAATGAATCCTGCCCCTTCCTTACTTTCCACACCTGCCTGGTCTGTTAAGACAGGAGTTGAGTTTCAATCAGAGAGAGACAGTATGAAGGTAAACAGCTTTGTCTGTGCTCTTTGTTTCAGAAAACCCAGAGGGGCTGATTTACTAAAACTGGGGAGTGCAAAATCTGGTGCAGCTGTGCTTTATAGCCAATCAGCTTCCAACTTCAACTTGTTTAATTTAGCTTTGCCAAAAAAACCTGAAAGCTTGACAGGACAGAAAGGGTCCTTTCACACAGGCGTTCCGTTTTTCTTCTTCCGTTCAGTCATGTTTTTTTTCAAAGAAATCATTGGGACAAGGTGCTTTGGGGAGGAGCTCCTCTGCCCCAAAGCACCCCCCAATGTTGAGGGCATGTGGCCTGGTATGGTTCAGGACAGGGGAGGCGCTTACGCTCGCCCCCCCCCCCTTTCCTGACCTGTTGGGCTGAATGCTCGGATAAGGGTGTGATATGGATCCTGGTGGGGAGTTCCCCTCAAAATCCAAACCAGATCCAAAGGGCTTGGTTATGGATGGAGGGGGGGACCCCACGCCATTTTTTAAATTATATTTTAATTGCTGGCAATTTTTAATTTTTTTTTATACATTCAGCTGCCAGTGGGGAGCCCCGCTGACAGCTGATGATAAAAACTCATCCCCCCCATGTTGAGAGCA